ACACATATATATACATATATATACATGTATACATATATATACATATACACACATATATATATATACACATATATATATATAGACACATATATATATACACATATATATATATACACACATATATATATATACCCTTAGGAAAATTTGCCATAGGTTTGCCATAAAAAAATGCCATAAGATATTCCCATGGGGTTTTGCCTATGGCAAAATTTAGCCATACACTTTTGCCATACATGTATGGCAAAATTTTGCCATACGTATATGGCAAAAGTGTATGGCAAAATTTTACCATAGGCAAAACCCCATAGGAATATCCTATGGCATTTTTTTATATGGCAAAATTTTGCCATAAAACTAAGATGTGCTACAGCTTATGACGAAATATTTTTCCATAGGCAGCTATGGCAGCATTTCTCGTTGATATTTTACCATACATCAAAAGTCCATACACAAAACTACCATACACAAAAAACGTTACTTACAAGAATCTTTCGCAATGGATATTAAAAATGCAAAACTTAATAATTGTAGAATAAATATATATCCAGAAAGCTTTTTTTTAAAATTTCTTTGATAAACTTCCCCTGTTTCACATGAAGAATCCGTTCTGAATGCTGTTCTTATTCAAATAAATTTTAAACGGTTAGTACTAGCCGTTAGAAAATGGGTCCGGTGGTCGGAGTGAGTGGGGAAAACATTGGTTAATGTTGATTAGGAACAAAATATATTGAGTGCAGGCAACCAATATTTGTTAAAACTGTAAAATGCAAGAAAATAGAAAATGGGTCTGGAGGTCGGAGCGAGTATAAAAAACGTTAATTTGATTGATTGGCATCATAATTAGTTAGATAAGCGTCAGATATTAGAGGAACCTAAAAGAAAGCGAATTTAAATAATGGTCGGAGCGAGTATGAAATTTTTTTAAATTTTGATATGTGATACTAAACTTAAAATTAAACAGACTACTAAAACAATAAAATACTATGAAAACTCAAAAGATAAAGAGTGGGGCTGGTGGTCGAAGTGAAATTAGCTTAAAATTGACCAAACGGGACAAAAGCCGAATATGTAACGGTGCAACCAGTGGTGGCATGTGAACAAAATTTTATCTACAAAAAAGAGATGGTATTAGACTATGAAAAGCTAAGAATAGAAAACAGGCTAAATTAGTTGATCCCCTACTAGTGAGGGATATAAAAATCAGAAAATTTATGCTGAGTTGCGTTAACACAGTTAGAAAAGAGAACGCAATATAGAAACATTGGTAAATACAAAACATGTTTAAGACATGATTAAAATTGGTAAAATTAATGAATGCTCTTGACACTTGGTCAGGGATAGTAAATAAAAATTAATTGGGCATAGGGAATCGCTATGACGAAAAAGTTGTAAGCTTAAGTAAGGGATAAATTGTTAAAAGCATTTTTGGTAACAGCAGCAGATGATATGGCTAGGGACTGTCCAGTTGATAATATTGAAGCAAAATAATTGTCAACCAGTAATCCAGCAAATCTAGTTAAGTGATGACCCTAAGCTATGTATAAATATGTAACAGAACATTGTACAAGTATATGTGGATACTTAAGAAATATTAGTTGTAAGATAGTAAAACGCAGAAGCATGATAAAAAACAACTTAATGGCAGGCAAAAATTAAACACAAAATAAAAATATAAAGCCCTAACATATGTAAGAAAATGCAAAAAAGCATTGCAAGAACCTAAGTGGAATTAAAATTAAAATCTAATGAGAATGTAAACACTGACTTTGATATTGATATATGACAGCAATAAAATGAAATTGTCGCGGAACAAGTTAAAAGAATTAAAAATTTTAATTATTAAAGAAATGATGAATGATAAGAACTTAACTGTGTTTTTCATCATGAAGATTGTTTACAAATTGCTATGGGGAATAGAACACCATCAATAATGGAAAAGTGATGTGACTTTAAAAATTTATATAAAATCAGAGGGAGGGGATAAAGTAAAAAGAAAGATGTTGTTTGATCAGAAACAGTTGGGAGAAAGAAATATAAAAATTTTAGATAAAAATATAAATAGCAAGATATTAATTAAAGTTCACAAAGTTAGCGTTAGCAAATAGCAAAATTTAACATAGCGAAAACCTATACCCAATCGCGACATATTTTGAAAAGATACCGATAATAAAAGTACCAGACAGCCGGAATAAATTAAAAACTTAATAAAATCAGATAGATAATTGCACATGCGTTTGCAATAAAATGTTTTAGACCAAGAATGAGATCGAAAAAATATTTAAATAAGTAGCCAAAGTTAGCGAAAGATTCCATTAGTAGTGGAATACACGTTAATATGGCGGTCTGAAACTCTAAGCCTAAATCAATAGAACATCGGATTTCAAACATTCAAAAATGGAAAAATTGGCCACCCGGAGGCCGGAAAAGACTCACCAGGAATACCTTGTGGGATAGCATGTTGAATTTAATTAACTTCGGGGTGAAAAAATGTATATTTCCTTCTTTTAGAAGATATTTTTGAGGACTCCATAGAAGATGTTGTTTCGTTGTTGGGAATCTAGATCAGCTTTTCCCTACGGTATACTGCCATACAAATTTCTATGGTTGCCATAGGCCAATGGTGACGTGCCATATAAATGCCATACATGTCTCTATGGTTACCATTGGCCTATGGTATCTTGCCATACAAATTTCTATGGTAGCCATAGGCTTATGGGGTTTTGCCATACAAATTTCTATGGTAACCATAGGCGTATGGTATCTTGCCATACAAATTTCTATGGTAGCCATAGGC